GTATCAACCCATTAGCTTCTTTGTAATCCATAAGTTAGCCAACTTCTCCTAAAAGGAGGCTAACTTATGGAAACTCTAACGATTGAGGCTTTAGAGAATAGAGGCGTAGAGATAGAGAGATTAGGATTTGCCGCTACTCTCCTTCTCGAGGGAGAGCAACGGCCATTATCACGGTATACCAGATTCGTTGAATATCTCATATCTTTCTATCTACTTCTTCTTCTTTATCTCCTATGATTGTTTGATTGTTAAAAAACAGGGATTATCAATTGGTATCAGAGCCGAGGTGTGAAACAGGTTGAATCTATCTGCGATTTTTTGGATTTAACGAAGAACTGCTTTGCTTTTCCTCTCTTTTTCTTCAATATAGAGTTTTGCTCCTGTAATCTTGTTTGGGAACGAAAATCTGTAAAAATTATACTGTTGGAATCACCTCTTCAAAACGATTCTACAACATATCTTTATTTTCGATTTCTGCAAATTTTCAATTTCGAAGAACTCTACATGAAATCTCGAGTTTATGCTTTTACATGGCTGCAGAAACGATTTTGACTTGAAACAGATACAGGAGGAATCTCGACCTTCAGGGCTATTCATAACAGTTTTCAGATTTTCAAAAATCGAAGTTTTCATTTTGCCGGAACTCGACATTTAGGGTCTCAAATTCCTAAACTCGACATTTTGAAATTTCGAGTTTTGAAATTTAGAGTATTGAAATTTCGAGTTTTTGAAATTTCGAGTTTTGAAATTTCGAGTTTTGAAATTTCGAGTTTTGAAATTTCGAGTTTTGAAATTTCGAGTTTTGAAATTTCGAGTTTTGAAACTTTGAGTTTTGAAATTTCGAGTTTTGAAATTTCGAGTTTTGAAATTTCGAGTTTTGGAATTTCGAGTTTTGGGAACTCGATGTTTAGGTTTTCGACATTATGAAAGATTTCGAGATTTTTGGAATTTCTCGATGTTTTGAATATTTCAAAGTTTGCAGTTTCTTGAAACTCGGAATTGTTCGAAACTTGACATTCTTCGCAGTTCATCGAAGCTTTACATTATAGGACATCTGAATGAATCTCTGCTTATCAAGGTTTTTAGAAGTTTTCGATGTGCTGATGTTTTTCAAACAGCAAGTTTTCGATATTATGAGGTTTTCGAAACTCCAAAGTTTTCGATGTTACGTTCCAAACAACTTGAAATTATGAAGATTTCGAAGTCTCGGGGTCTGTTTTGCAGGTGAATTTCACCATTATTCTTCGAGGCAAATTCGAGATTACAATCTCGAGGTTTAAACTCGAGGTTTAAACTCGAGATTAGGATTTTGAGGTATTGCCTTAGAATTTTCCTTAATCCCACCTGTTCTCGATAGTCAACATCGAGAACCTCACTTCGAAGAAATCTTCAAAAACTCAATAATTCGAGATTTTCTGCGACACCGCACTGTTTTGGCCATAAGTTTTGACTCGGTGATCCGATTTAAGCGAACTTTTTTTGTTGGAAAGATAACGAAAAGATCTAGATTTGTTCTGGGGATTTACCCCAGAACCCCTTTTCACGCATCCTCACGCGCAGTCCTTGAGGGCCAAATCGCTCGTTTTCCGACAAACATTGTAAATCACCGATGTCAAGGTCAAAATTCAGGGAAATCTGTTCAAATTCTTCCAAAGTCAAACCTAAGGTCAAAGTTTTTCAAAGCTACACTGTAGAGGTCCGAAAATCGTAGATAATTCAATCAACCTCACGTCAATGGTCATCTTACAACAATCAACAATCAACCACTTAAGCCTCCCCTAACTCATCAACATTGTGTGATCCTCAAACGCGCTGATATTCCAAATAATGAGCTTAGGGAAACCGTCATGTGTGGTACTTGTTCAGATTGCTCCACACACATGGCAGGTATGACGAGTTGTGAGCAATCAAACCTTGCACATTCTGAAGGGGGGTTCAGTTTTCTCCTCCTAACGCCTTACACTGACAAAGCAAGGAATCTCTTAAAGGATGCAACATTTTAGGGGGAGTGTTCAATGTTATCCTCCCCGGTGCCTAACAATGACAAAGCATACCGAGTGTTCAAGTTGAGGGGGAGTACAGAGAGAAAATCAATGAGAGAACATGTTCCTATGGCTTAGTAAACCCAACTAAGCCTACCCAGGGGACAAAGCCGAGAGTAAGTGAGTGAGTGAGTGAGTGGGTGAGTGAGTGAGTGAGTGAGTGAGTGAGTGAGTGAGTGATCATTATGAGTGTTAGGAAGCAGAAGGCTCAAGTGAGCAAGAAAACAATAATCAATGATGAGTCTGGTACCTCAACTGTGTGTTATTTATACAACATTTACTCCTAGCCACTCAAATACTCTGGACAATTCCCAAATAGGTTCAAGACTGATTTAATCAGATCCCGGGTAGAAGTCACTGCATCTTGTCCAACAGTGCATGATTGAACCCTACCCAAGGCCACTCACTTGTCTCCCAACAGACAGGTGTTTAATCATACTTCACGGGGAACCGCATCTCTCATTACTGTCTCCTTCCGAGGCAAGTGATACTGACTACAGTGGCCTCAGTCCCATGCCACTAAACTTTCATTGATCACGTCATCTCTAGTTACTCACTCCCAAATGTTTTGAAATTTTCTAGGACACATACACACTTTTTGAGTCAGTTGCAGGTCTTCATGACCCGCGAGAACTTCCATAGGGCTCATCTATTACAGACGTAGACCAATGATTGGAAGGAAGTCCTGCTGTTGCAACATAGAAATCACCAACATGTTCATGCCATCACTTCAAAGTTTATCTCTATAGTGATGATAATGGGCGTCTACATGACCCCGGGGGGCTTCGTTAACTTTGCTGATCTTTATGATCATGCCATAACAACTAGAGTGAAATTTTTCCGATGCTTCAAAATATTTGGTTGGAAGTCCTGTTAGAGCTTTAATGTTTCTATCATTTTATACAGGCCACACGTTAGTATTTACATTGATGTTGTGATAATTGAACACCATGGTGTCTCCGGTGTTTACCATTTTGTTTGTTTTTCTGTTTTGTTTCCCAGAATAAAATAATAAAATCATGACGTCCCGATTCATCGTAGCGTCGTGAGGGGGAGAGTGGTCCACATGCTGTTAAATGTCGACAAATCATTCTCGGACACTTCTCTCCTCCACCACAAAAAAAATCAACGACTCTCTTCTATTTCCACACCTCAAATGGTCAGCTACGCACACAAGTCAACCATCTTTTTCCGTTGTGCCACCGACAAGTTCTCCTCAAACGCATTTACTTCAAATAGTCAAGAATACTACATTGTGGAGGAGACAGAGGTCAAATACTCGTGTACTGAAGATGAATCCCGTGCGTGCCTCCTATACTTCAAAGAATATTCATTCTAGAGGCGTCACCGGACTTCATCTAAGTTGATCAAGAGAAACTTCTGGAAGGCAATGACTACATGCAAGATACTGAAGATCCCTCAACCCCTTACATCAAAGAACAAAATGCCAAGAAGACATCAAAGGGGAGATTGTAAGGATTTCTTCAGAAAGCCTTCTGAAGAAGTCAAGTTCAAAGACAAAGGAAGCTGAATAACAACAAAGACAAAGATATCTGCGCTGCAATGCTGATTCAACAGGATTGAACACCAAGAGGGAGATTGTAAGGAATATTTTATGGTGTCCAATCTAATTAAATATCTTTGTATTTGTGTAGTTATTAGTTAAACATGTAATATGGGTCACAAATGTATATCAGCTCATTAGCTTCTTTGTAATCCATAAGTTAGCCAACTTCTCCTAAAAGGAGTCTAACTTATGGAAACCCTAATGATTGAGACTTTAGAGAATAGAGGCACAGAGATAGAGAGATTAGGGTTTGTCGCTGCTCCCCTTCTCGAGGGAGAGCAGCGGCCATTATCACGGTATATCAGATTCGTTGAATATCTCATATTTTTCTATCTACTTCTTCTTTATCTGCTATGATTGTTTGATTGTTAAAGAACAGGGATTATCAGAATAAAAAGAAATTTAAAAAAGATAAGAAAAGAAAAAGAAATGAAGGAGGCTAGGACCTCCTCCATCCGTGGACAAAAAGTTGTTAAAAACATAGAAATTAAAACGGTTTAACTTGTAACAACAAAAATTCAAATTGGATGTATCCCGTATGCTTCTTTTTACTTTGTTCGTTGTTTATCTTTACATAAGGAAATAAAGACATGTATACATTGTACTATCCTCCGTTTCATTCACAACATGTTGAATTTTACATTATTTAATGCTTTACTTTGACTACATTTTCTATGGAGTATTTTTTTATGAAAAATATTTTATGAAAAATATTTTTTAAAAAAATATTGTTCAATTCATCTCATTATAAATATTCAAAATATGATTTTTAATAGGAAAAATTGATTATAATAATCCCAACTATTGGCGGTCCGCTTATAATAATCCCAACTATCGATTATCTCAGAATAATTCTAACTTTAGTGACATTCCGCCAATAATGATCCGACATGACTGGCAATAAGTAAGTTCCTATAATTTCTAAACTGGATAAGATATAACAAGTAATCTCTATAAATAATTTAACTTTTAATTTTTACGCTTTATTTCTAGTTAAAATTCACTTGTTATAGCAGGTCATATTTGGTCATGGACCATTATTGGCGAAAGATCACTGAAGTTGGGATTATTCATAGATCATCGATAGTTGGGATTATTATAAGCGGACCGCCAATAGTTGAGATTATTACAATCAATTTTTCTTTTTTAATATTTTTTAACTAATAAAATTAAGATATAATTACGGTAAAAAACATGCGTTGGCAAATTTGAAATGTTGTCTGTTTCAATTAAAAAAGACGGAACGAACTATAAAGTAAGACATCACATAACGGAAATTTTTGTAATATAATTAAGGAAAGAATAACATATCCCATCCTTTGATGATGATTGACTAATTTAAATCAACCGCAGCCAGAACAAATAAATTAAAGCTAAGATATATAGATCCTATTTTTGAATTGATCACATAAAAGATACTCGTATATACTCGAATATGTCGTAATTAATGTCAATGGTGACTAAATGTCCATGAGTTAATACTCTGATCCTTCTGTATATACTAACATACGAAGTACTAATCTACCCGAAAGATAATTAGGAGATATATTAATGTTTGATACTCCGTATTGTCGTCTAATAAGCTACTAGTAATTAACTAGAGATGAAGAGAGAGATCAATGTTGTTTTCATCCAGATCCAGATAATGGGGAAGCGACGGAGTGAAGCCGGCGGCGGTGTTGGGGATGCCGGAGAGCGTCTCCAATGACAATAGGGGCGGCGGCATTGGCGACCCAGATCCCGTACTTGGACTATCCCTGAGAAAGACGACGTCGTCTTCAAGATCGTCGTCACAGCAAGCCATGGTGGGTGGGCAGGGAAAGTAGAGGTGGCGGTCGCCGCCCATTGAGCGGAAGCCGCCGCCGTCGGGAAGCTGGACAAGCGGAGGCGCTTGAAGCCAGTAGTAGCGGTTGTTGGAGTTGTCGTGATACTGCTCATGATGAACGGGTGGACGGTGGTGGTTGTCGGGCCCAAAAACACTACCGCCTCCGCCTCCGCCGCCGTACAATTTCTGACGGGCGGCGGCCCTCTCGCGCTTGTGAGCGTTCTGGTGCCCGCCGAGCGCTTGGGAAGTGCAGAACTTGCGGGAGCAGTAGAGGCATGGGAAAACTCTGGAAACAGGAGCCGGCGATGGACGGCGGTGGTGGGGCGGAGCTACTCTGGCGGCATCGCCCCGATCAGCGAAAAACGGCTTCAGCAACAATGCATGATTTCCAGCGCCGTCAACGGAAGCAGCCGGCAAACACTGAGAAGCAGAGACCCCCTGCAATGAAACCGCGGCGGCGGGTGAGAGCGGGTCTTCAGCCGCCACAGAGACGGCGGAGGTTGAAGAATGGGCGGCGGCGGCATTCCAATAGTCATTTATCATCATCATCATCCCCTGAAGTAAAACAGAAACAGAGGATGAAATGAAATGTTTCAGTTTGGAGTGAGTGAGGAATAGTTTTGAGATGAGATCCATGGCGGCTGGCTGAATATATAGGGCCGGAGCGGATCAGGACGTATGTCGTTATTTAGACGTACGTATACGTAAAAACGAATACTGTATATACGTAGATGGAGGTCAGATGATGCCAAATATGGGCGAACCGACTGTGTATACGCTGCGAATGGGTCCAAAGAAAAGGACGTACGTATAGAGGCCGGCCGGGGATGCAGTATTTGTACGTATATATTGCCGGCCTGTGTGATGGCACCTGAGCATGTGTCTGAGATGGTGATTTGGAGCGAGCATGTGAGACAATGGACGTGGAAGTTATGTACGGAAGATGCTCTTAAGTGTATTTAATTTGATTTTTGTACATCTCCACAGCTCACATTAATTTCGCATTTCCATTTTTGGAGTTTGCGGTAGAATATTCCTTCTTCATCACTCACAAATTGAACGGCAGATTTCGAACATAAAATGGCTTGTAAATCGTGTTGATTGAATTGTAACATGAACTAAATCGAAATGTAAATTGCTTTAGTAGAAATGTAACTTGAGTAAAAATCAAAATATACGGTGTCTATTATGTATATACTGTTTGAGGTATTGTAGTAGAGGAATATGATGGATTAACAATCGACGACTTTGATCGTAGAGAACAACGAGATGTACCCGACAATTTCAATCTAGAAGAACAACAATGTAACCGACGATTAACAACGGACTCCGGGTGAGACAACGAGAAGCTAGGAGAACAACTGATCATTTCGATCAGGGATGGAACAATCATGGTCACGATGGGGATTCGGTGATGAATCTGATTTCAAGCTTCTTCACGCAGGCAGACAAGGAAAAGAGCATGGAGGAAACCTACTCTTTCGACGCACAGAAGATGCACAGCAGGCGGAACACTCATCCAATTTGATTTCAAATAGATGAACCAGCAACCCAACATATACCTATCGGACAACAAGGTCGAAGATTGGAGCCAAGTCTCTGTGGGACTCCGGTAGACTGAACCGACAAACCCTCTATTTGAGTGGCCTAAGAGAATTTGCAATTTTTAATGGAAAAACAGTACCATTTTGGGATCGGTACACCGGACTCACCACGGTGTAATTTGCGGAGGTGGCTTAGAAGTTTATGCGTAACAAGGAGTCATCGAAATTCTCATATTGCAATGGTCGGGGATTCAACCTGACATATACTCCGTATATACTATCGTATTACTCCCTCTGTCCCAAATTGTTTTGCAAAATCAACATTTTTTGTCAACCAATAATAAAAGTCAATCCTTTCAATCGATAATTAATTCAATTTTTAATAATTAAAACTTACATATTCAGAAACTACATTAAAATCTCTTCAAAAATGTAATCTCCAAATTAGAATATAATTAAAAATTGACATCCTAATTAAGCAAATAAAAAGAAACTGTTTGACCAAGAAAAATCAAATTTGCAAATCAATTCGAGACGGTGGTAGTACTTCATTGGGCAACAACTCTTGAGCTAAGCTATCGGTGCAGGTATATATTTAAAATGTAACTTATCTACGATAAAGTGAAATTTTATCAATTTCCTAAATCCAGTTCATTTGGTCTTTTTACTAAACGGATGGTGAATAAATGTCCTAGCTATGGTATCACTATTCGCATATTTTACTTTGAGTACATTTTATTTATTAATTGTTATAATATTTTCAATACTCCGTATTTTATTTCACAATTATTTAGGGAAAATATTCAATGGAAAACATTACTTATAATAAATTAATTAATGTTTTACTAAATTAATATGTAAAAAATATGTTGAATGTATTTTATTGACGGTGCACAGATGCAGGGAAAACAGTATTAACGGAGTCGAAACACTGTTTACTTATGAAATGGTCTAATCACTGTCCACTTGCACTTAGCTACCTTGCCATATCATAGACTTCTGTTCTTACAAATTTCTTACTCCCGTCTAGCCATGACAATGGGTCGAACACCCGCACAGGTAGCTCAGGTGGTTGAGTGGTGAGAATTTGGATCAAGGCAACCATGATTCATCCCGCAGCGACCGTGTGGGGGTTACAACCTCTGAAATGGGATGGACCTCTGGGCACACGGGGTATATGGGCCTACTGTCACTTCGCTGATTGAGTCTCCGTGAATTACATCTTTCCACGTGCCCTGTCGGGTCGGGGTGTGGGGGGCTCCGGGGGTGGGAGATTCCACCTTTTGGATCAAGGCAATCAGTCGAACGGGACGGGTATTGCAAGAACCGGACCCGTCCCGTGAATTCACTAGGTGGACCCGTCCCGTTTCGTGATCCACACGAGTCCAAACTTGTCGACCCATGACCCACCCCATGTGGAGCGGGTTCGCCCCGCCCCACCGTAACCTAATTAGCTAGTATGCATTTCTATTTGTGTGAAGTTGTTACCACTTGAATTTACATGAAGTTTGTCTCTAGATAATTATTTAATAGTATAATAAATCAAAGTCACAATACGCTAAAAAATTAAAAAAATTTAAAAAAAGTACTTAAACTTGAATAGTTAATCTATTTATATTAATTAAAATGCTATATATAAAAAAGACATTGATAATTTGTCGTTCATCTCATTCAAAATTAAATATTAATATATTATATGACCGAAGATGTTATGATTTATTATACACACACATATGTATGTAGAAGTGTATTTGTACTATAATTTTAAAAAATGTATGTATAATTATATATTTAGCGAGGCGGGACGAAACAGGGTGGTACGGATCAATACTATTACTCGGACCCGCCTCATTGTATGAACCCGACGGGGCAGACCAGCCCCATTTGCAAGACCGGCGGGCCTTACCCACCCTAAATGTCCCGTGGTGGATTGTATTACTCTTCCGTCCTTGTTAAATACGGAGTATATCCTATCTCATTCATATTTGTATGTGCGAGCTGAGGATACTTGGTATTTACTTTGTTCATTTTTTTTAAATTCAATAATAGTTAAATACTTTAATTTTTCCATAGAGTAATTACTATGGAGTATCAGTGAGTGATTCCAAATTATCCAAAGCTACAAAGATAACAAATTTGGATTATGTTTACATTTTTAGTCAAATTTCATTTATCTATAAACACATATTCGTTGAAACTAACCTAAAAGGTTTATCAGTGACATATACATCGTCCATAAATGTAAGAACGTAAGATGCATAATGAGTTTAGTGTGGATTTTAAAAAGGATAAAGAACAACGGTGTTGTTTCGTGGTAAATTCCATCCTACAAGCCGGCTGTACCGTGCGCACGATACAGCCGGACTTTTAATTCCCAAATCGCAGGTCGCAGGTCTTCGTCGCAGTTCACAGGCTTCCATCGCATATCGTTCTCGATGCTCGTCCTTCGCTCGCTACCAACATAGATGACGATTCTCAACAGCCGCAACTCTCCAGCACGAGCGCATCACCTCAAACTCCGACTTCAGCGGCGGCTCCTGCGCAGCACCTGGTTTATAGCCCTAGTTGCTTGACTTGCTTCTTCTCCGTCTTTCTTGTTTTGGATTCATCCTTTTTCTCTTTTTCTTACTTAGTTTGGTGAGTGAGTTTGGTCACTTGTTGGCCACATGTTAGAGAAATCTAAGTTATACGTAATTCTTCGGATGTGAGCATAATAAGTGAAATTATGAGCATAGTAGACATTTCAAATGAGTTTTATGAATGCTCATTTTGTAATTTATGTATACTCATTTGATATTAGTGTAATACTCATTTTAAATGAACATGTACAAATGAATATTGAACACATTAGAAATGAGTTTTATGTTAAACTCAAATGAGTATAACGCCCAAAATGAATGAGCACATACAAATGAACTTTTTAATTATTTGATACTAATTTGTAAGTTATGTATGCTCATTTTGGACTAAAACTTTTTAATAAACGAAAAAATAATAAACAAAATGTGATATATAAGGAATGAATCAGATATCACTAATGCTCACCGTTAGGATCCTAATACTCAAAAGAACAGGTTCGGTACTCATCAAAATTGATTTAATGCTCATTTAAGAGGATCTGTGATTTTCACCATAATTACAAGTTTGCCACCGGCTGTACGGCCGGCACCGTACAGCCGGCTGTACCGTATACGAATTCTTGCTTCGTAATTCTAATCTGCAACAAGTAAGAAATAGAAGATTCATAAAAAGTAAAGATTAGAGTTAAATGATAAATAAAAGGATAAAGTCAAAAACTAAAAAATTAGTGGCGTCTAATTAAAAATCGTTCATATATATTTTTGAGCGAATCTAGAAAAAAACGTATCTTACAAAATGATACATGAGATGGTTAGAATACGAATCAAAATTCCTAATATTACAAGCTTTGTGTAACCATTTTTTTAAAAGAACGGTTTTATTTTTAGAGTCCCGGCCTAAACTCCTAAAGTAATTATTTCATGTGTATGGTTCTTCATTTACTCAACATAGCATCACGTTGCTATGATGAAATAACAGCCTTTTCGGGGTCCTCTTTATAAATATGAGTTTAATGCACCAAATCCTCTCGTGGTATAGAAATTTAGTGTATTAATCCCATGTGATTTGAAAAAAACATCAAAACTCCTTATATTTTAATTAATCATGCACAGAACCCTTTTTATGAATAAATTTAACCATTTGGAAATCACTTTTCTTAATATTCTGATTGAATATGCAAGTAAATATGTCAAAATCTCTAAATCATACAAATTTTTTAATCATTTTTCTTTTATTTGACAATTGAATTTGTTCATAGAAGGATTTTGCGCATAATTAATTAAAACAAAAGGGGGTTTGACGCATTTTTTAACTCATAGAGGACTAATGCGCTGAATTTCCTTATCACATGGAGGGTTGGTGCATTAAACCCTTATAAATACACATTCTCAATGGGCCGGATGGTGTTCCATGGAAGTGGGGAAATGTACGTAGTAGTTTCAATTCATATTAAAAATGTTTACTTTTTTTGAAAGAAATATATTTACATTTAGTATATACAAACTTTGACATTGCTATATTATTTTATGTCAGAAGACACAAGTGACAACATACACTCACATATATATAACTCTGTCTCCCTATTATTGTCTCATTACGGTTTACGATGTTTGACCTACAATAAATTGCAAACAGATACGATCCTTGTTCGGCGTCCACACTTAAATTATTTTTAGAAAAAAAAATTACATATTCAGAAACAAAATTAAAAGCTTTACAAAGTCGCAAAAATCAGAATCAAAATTGATAAATATTTGATACATAAAGTAAGAAATTAAGAATAATTTATGTTGACCATGTGAATAGAAACTAGGACAATAATAGAGGACGCTTTGAGTAGTACTTAAATTACTTAATACTCGGGGCATGTTGTCTCTAATTAAGCATAAACAGAAAATTCTGATCTCATCATGAAAACCCTCATAATTCACTCATAATTCGAAAAATCGTCAATGAAATATTACTTTGTTATATGTCTATTATACACTCATAATTGGAAGAAAACATTTTGAGCACGTCTGATGAGTTATCATAGTTTTGCATTCCAAACACCACTAATGACGCCATTTTCTTCACAAAAACCAGTAAAATCATATGGAGTACGGAGTATATGGTTTTGCATTTCATAAAGTTTGACTTGCCATAAAATAATTTATCCCGATCAATAATAAGACTAATTTTAGTAAATAAAATTTACATATTCAAAAACAGCATTTAAAGTTTTAAAAAGTTGCAAAAAATACTAAATTTTATTAAAGTTGGACAAATCAGACTCTAATGTGAAATTTTATGGTTTGATTTGGTTTGTATTGATTTGGTCTGATATATAAATGTCTGATTTTATATATTTTATAACTGTCAATGTCTAATGTGATATAATCTTATGTTATTTGGTCTGATCTAGTCTTGGACTAAAATAAATCGATGTAAAAACATCCTAAATATTACTAATATGTGGTGAGATTGTGCCTATAATCATGTCATTATCTCATCAGCTTAAGAGTACTTATTTTTAAACTACTTAACTATTTAAATGTTGTGATTAATGGATACCATAAAATTAGCCATATTTAAACCTTTTTTTTACTATAAACGGGAGACCCACTTGTGTATAGAACATGTTTGTTTTCTCCAGTGTTGCCTATATAATCCTACTCCGAATTTCCTATAATCGAAATGCAATGCACAAACCATTTTTCCTTAACACGCTCGTAAAAGGAAATCAGCTTAGCTATGCCTTATCCAATAACCTTAGCCGCACCATCATCATCAACAATATTCCCCTCCGTCATCACGCCAGATTGTGGTCCAGCCTTATCCCTAGCTCCGCCCAAGGTGGGCTCGGTTCTGAAACTGTCTCACTTGAAGAGCCCGAAGCACACAAATCTGGTCCTAATTTGGAGCCCTTCGCTCTCGTACACTTGATCCGAGAATGTGCCAATTTGGGTTGGTTTATGTACGTCGAGCAGCTTCATTGTCATGTTCTGAAATCTGGCTGGGCTTCCGACGTATATGTTTCTAGTGCCATGATTAGTCTATATGTGAAGTTTGAGGCTATCATTGATGCTCACAGAGTGTTCGTTGAAATTCCTGAACCAAGTATAGTTTCTTGGAATACTTTGATTTCTGGCTACGCCCGTTATGGGAAGCCTAGTAATGCTCTGAGCTTGTTCTTTGAGCTAGAAAGGTCTGGACTTTGTGCGGATTCTTATACGTTTACACCTGCTTTATCCGCTTGCGGGCAGTTGAGTTTGCTTCATTTTGGAGAGTCTATACATTCCAAGATCGTGAGGCTTGGTATGCATTGTAGTGTAGTTGTTGGAAACTCTTTGATTGACATGTATGGAAAATGTGGATACCCTAAGGGATCAATTAGGGTGTTCAATGGTATGATCGATAAGGACACAATTTCCTGGAATTCAGTTATAGCAGCAAATGCTCGAAATAGGAGGCTTGAACTAGCCTTCGGTTTTCTACACCAAATGCCACATCCGGATTCAATTACCTATAATGAACTAATAAGTGGAATTGCTCAGTTTGGTGAGATTGAAGACGCAATTGCTCTATTGTCAAGAATGCCCCACCCGAACTCATCTTCATGGAATTCTATTGTAACATGCTATGTAAACAGAGGCAGGGGAGACCAAGCTCTAGAGTTTTTTTCTAAAATGCACTTTAGTGGCATGAGGATGGACCAATTCACATTTTCAAGCATTTTAAGTGGTACTGCTGGTGTTGCAGATATCACATGGGGAAGATTGATCCATTGTTGTACAGTGAAGAATGGGTTGAATAAAAGTGTAGTTGTTGGGAGTGCTCTTGTTGATATGTATTCTAAATGTGGGGATGTGAATAAGGCTGAGGTTCTGTTTGAGACTCTCCCTAGTAAGAATTTGGTGACTTGTAATGCTATGATATCTGGATATGCCAATAATGGTGACTCAAACAAGGTACTTCGTCTATTCGAGCAAATGAAAAAGACCTTAGATTTACAGCCAGATGGAATCACTTTCCTCAATATCTTGTCTGCTTGTTGGCACAACAAGGTACCTATGGAGGTTGCAAAGAAGTACTTTGAGTCAATGGTGAAGGACTACGGGATCGCTCCCACAGCCGAGCACTGTTCATCTATGATTAGGCTCATGGGGAGGGAAGGAGTGGTGGAAGGTGGTGAGAATATGATCAAAGAGATGGGATTTGAGAAATGTGCATTAGTTTGGAGAGCTCTATTAGGAGCTTGTGTGACTTGTGGGGATATAAAAGTTGCAGAAGTGGCAGCTGAAAAGGTGATAGGGTTGGAAGGTGAGAGTGATTATGTTTATGTATTGATGTCAAATGTTTATGCTTCTTATAAAAAGTGGAAAGACGTCAAGGGAATGAGGATGTTGATGAAAGGGAGACAGGTAACTAAAGGGTGTGGTCATAGTTGGATTGAGTCATTGAGGTATAAAAATGTTTTTTAAACTCCGTGTATATCCACTGTCTATTATTGGCAACTTTACTAGTTTATCCCCATCTTGCAACAGTAGCCCATGATGGGAAAGAGATGTTTACATTCAGAAGAATTTACCATCTAAAATCAGATCCACCAGCATCTTTCAAGTTCAATGTGCAATGGAATTTGATACCAAGTGCATAAACTGCATATTATCCTAGACCTAAAACACTAAATCCTTCCACATAATAGCAACACATGGGGGAGTGGCTAAACAATGGATGGTGTGCTCTCCTTCCTAGAGAGGCCTAGGAGATGGGGATCTGGGAAGCTCTTATTCAGGCTAAGGACAAAGTTTGTGAAAAATTCGATATTAAATGTGACTCTTTGTCGGCCATTGTTGGGATCGGGCATGGTGCGGATCATCTGATTTTGGCAAGAACGTGTGGGCTAATATTCCCAATACTCTGTCGAATGTCTCGTTGTCACGGTGGTCTTCGTTGTAAAACCCAATCTTGATGTCAGCTGAGGGGTAGTAATGTTCCTCCGTGAAGTTCAGTCGAGGGGTACACGTGATGGAATGCCCTTCCCTCAGAACATCTCCAGCCAAATATTATATGTAGTAACTTGTAAAAGTACGGTAACTGGACTTTGTCGAGAAAGCTGGATAGAAGATGCCAAAGAAATTTTACGAAAATGGAGGAAAATGGTTGCATGTCAGATATGGTGTACAGCGTACTCATTTGCGGGTTAGTGAAAACGGACGGCATTGTGATACTGTATTACTTTTGGGGGAAATGAAAAAACTTGGACCCTCACCTGATAGATGAACATGTCAGATTATACTCGAGACAATCTTGCCAAATGGACCAGATTTTCTTCTGATGCATATGCTTATGAATATACAAGAAAATGACAAAAAGTCGTGATTCTAAACCTTCTCCTAGAAAGGATTGTATTTTATTTGTTTTTGTGCCTATGTTCGTATTGAATGGTAAATCCTAATAATTTACTAATAACAAAATAAAAACGAGACCCACAAATGTTAAATTTAGCGGAAACAACCCTATTTGTGTGACTTGTTCTTTATAGTCCTTTGGGCATAGCTTTCAATCAACCTCCATGATCTGATCTGTATCTCATCTTCCATATACAAATGTCTTGAGATAACCTGTTTTGTTGATTTCACAGTGACTGTTTGGTAACCTGTTTTCTATTTTCTATCATATTTACTCAAGATAGTAGCTATAATAGTTCTCATATTGTATTTATTTGTCTTCCGGGGAACATTTATTACGCTGCTTATTCGTTATGTTTTTCAATAATCACATGAAAGTTTTCACTAAAACAAGGAGGCTAGAAATTAGTCCCAAGCAAAAAAAAAACCAATCCAAAATTCCAACAAATTAACATCTAAATTTGATTTCATCGAAAATTAGTGAGAGCCAATTTAATCAGGAAATCATTTATTTGTTTTCCGGGGAACATTTATTTTCTATCATATTTACTCTTACTCAAGAAAGTTTTCATGTTCCTTATAATGAGAGGCCATTGAACATCGAAAATTATTAACAAGTTTGCTTTCAAGATAAAGATGTATGGGGATGGAGATGTATCATAATGTGTTATATATATTTATAGATATATCTTATTATCTCAAAATCTCTTTTATTGACACATTTAATGATGCAATCATTCTTTTAGTATTATTATGCATTGGTAGCACATTTCATTTATTTATTAGACAATACTAGTATATATACTCCGTATATATTCATTGCAGAATAGCACACTACCAGGCTACCGCTGCATTCATTCATCTAGTGGCGCTGCCCGCGCCCACGGTGGTGGCTATGACGGTGTTTCCTAGCACCTCTCCAATCAGACTTCTTTGTAAAATCACCTTCTTTAGGAAACTCCCCTTTGGCAAAGTAAAACCCATCTGTCTTCACGTTCCAATTGCAGTACCTTTCCCCGTTGCATGAAACATCATTGGCATCGTATACGATGATACCCTGAGCCTTTGTGCCCCAACGAAAGTCACACCAGAAAAGAGTAGTCTTCCAAATATTGGGGCGGAAGTGGATTTCCTTCTCAGTATTTTGGGTCATATTCCACACCCCTAAATCGTTGTTTTTAGATTTGCAATGCGCGAATACTTCTCCTGCATAAGGCTGCACATTGTTATTTTGTGGGATCAAATCAAGAATCCTCACAACCTTTCGGTGGCCAGCACTTACAGCTCCTAGCTGCATTGCTATTATAGCACAAGATAGTAAAACCATGAAGGAGGAATAAAAATATGAGTTTTTGCCAACAAAACACATGATTATCGTATGATTTAGATGTAGTGAAACCGGAAAGGGGTGAATCTGATTTGGGCTTATTATATACTCCGTATGAGCTTACCATGAATGTTACATGCATATTTATACACAAACTAATACAGATACATACTTCGTACATGATAAAGCAATTTAATTTGTTTCTGTATATGCTTACAGGTTGATTTAGAATTTTTTTCATTCAAGGAAAAATAAAATTACATAGATAAACGATACTTATTTCAGTACCTAATCCGAAGAGAAATGAAATTATGTGGTATGGATCGTTTAATAATGAAATTTATTAGAGAAATTTTCTTACATATAAGTAAATGGGTTTTGAAATTCTAAAATAGAATGGAATAAGGGTCAAATTAGATGTGTATCTCAAATGGACAAAATTGGACACTATGCTTACATGTGTATCTCAAATTGGACACTAAAATTTCATAATTCATACGGAGTAGTAGTTTTTAGACACTCACTTATGATTCTATTCTTCCTTTAATAAAAATCATTAGTCTTATTTTTCCTTTCCTTTTTTGTATGAATAAACTAATCTAGTTTATGTATATAATTTTGGAATATTTAATTTGAGGTTTTAGAATAGGAAAAATTGAAAATAATAATCCCAATTATTACTGGTCCGCCATTAATAATCTCAACTATCGATTATTCCTGGGTGGTCCCAACTATAAGAGTCATTTTCCCAAAATGGTTCCTAACATATTACAACCCGAAGTGGCAGGTCATTTTTAAATGTGAACTATATGTAAGTTTTCAATAATCCCAACTATAGTTGACCTTTTTTTATTAATCCCAACTATCAACTCTCACTTTTTTGAAGATGTAAAAATATTTTTATAAATTTCCAAACTAAATATTTTTAAACATGTATAAACAATTACAAAAATTATAGTAATGTACCGAAGTTAAATAAAATATTTTTAGTCATTTTTTGATTTATTTCCACTAATTGTTTTTCCTTTTTCCAGTTTTTTCCCAGGTTGTGTTACCAATTTATGATTTTGTATTATTTTCCTTTATTCAAAATTACACGGATTTCAAAAAGTAAATAATGATTAAAATTTTATTTATTTATTTTATGCTATTTTAATTCTAAAAACCTAAATGTTCTATTTTTCCGTTTAAGTATTTCTAGTTTCTTTCTATTTTCTTTATTTGATACTATTATATTCCGTAAATTATATTATATAGTTTATCATTTAATTTTAGTGATTTGGGGTATAGGTTTTGGAGGTTTTGACTATATTTAATGGTATTGCAAACATTGAAAGTGTATGGAAATGGTAATAATAATCCCAACTATTTTGGTAGGTAAAAGAAGTGTGGATTTTTGGTAAACATTTTTTTATTGTCATTTCAAGCTATTCGCTTTTTTACATTGGTAGAAATTACAAACACTAAAATGGAATAAATAAAATTATAGATTTTAAGATTAAGCTAGAATAAAGATCTAAATTGTAAAAATAATAATCACAATTTACCTTTTGAAAATTGAAAATGTAAATTAGAATAAAAGAAAATAATACTAAATCATGAATTTGTAACATAATTGTGACAAACAAATTGGAAAAAGGACAAAATGAAATTTTAATGAAAATAAATAAAAAATGACTAATTTTTTTATCTAATTTCGGTACATTTGTAGAGTATTCGTAATTATTATTTCATGCTTAAAAATATTTAGTTTGCAAATTTTTAAAAATAATTTTACATCTTAAAAAAATTGAGAGTTGATAGTTGGGATTAATAAAAAAAGATCAACTATAGCTGGGATTATTTAAAGCTTACACATAGTTCACATTTAAAAATGACCTGTTATACAAGGTTGTAACAGGTTAGAGATCATTTTTGGAAAATGGTCCCTGTAGTTGGGATCACCCAGGAATAATCAATAGTTTGGACACTAAAATTTCATAATTCATAGTAGTTTTAGACACTCACTTATGATTATATTCTTCCTTTTAAAAAAATCATTAGTCTTATTCTTCCTTTCCTTTTTGTATGAATAAACTAATCTAGTTTATGTATATAATTTTGGAATATTTAATTTGAGGTTTTAGAATATATAATTTGATCTTCATTAATAAATTTTTATATTTAACAATTTAAAAATATATTTAGAACTTTTAATTCATATGATTTTTATAAAACTTTTGGAAATATCAAGTGGTTAAATTGGTTTAACAATATTAAAGAATTCAATTACATTATAATACATTTTCTTAATTGTAACATCTAATTATATATTCTAAATCTAAATACACGAATTAAGTTATTTTTATTTTTAGGTAAATAAAACAAAGGGAAAAAGGAATACTTATAGCTTTCAAATGTCAAAAATCTTTGGTGGGTGTCCAAAACTGATCAGAAAAACGTCCAATTTGATCCATTTGAAACTTTAGTGTCCAATATGAGATACACATGTAACCGTATTGTCCAATTTGGTCCATTCGAAACCGATGGATCTCTGACCTAGGGGATAGATAGATTCCGAGAAAGTAGTGAGACTGAAAGTGTTGAGTAAGATCGAGTAGAAATATTGACAGTCTAGAAAGTTCTTACAACAAAATTCGGATCTCATTCCACAGGTTGGAAAGTGATATTTATACTAAGGAGGAAATACTTGGCCAACAAATAAAAAGATGTTATTTTATTGTGGTGAGGACACGTGTCTATCTTGGCTAACAAGAATAAATGTACTAGTCTAATGGAGAGGCGACATGTGTAAAGTTGATTGGAGAGATATCTTGGACACCTAGCTGATTGGTACTGTGTGTAACAGTGTTGTCCTTTGTGTACCAGAATGCACATGTACGTCACACGTGTGCTATCTGGAATATTCTTGTGTAGCAACAACCAAGGTGTCGTGGTCCTTTATTGAGAATATTTTATGGTGTCCAATCTAACTAAATATCTTTGTATTTGTGTAGTTATTAATTAAATGTGTAATATGGGCCACAAATGTATTTCAACACATTAGCCCACTTGTAAGACTTAAGTTAGACATCCTTATGTATAAAAGGAGACTAATTTAAGAAAAACTCTAAGTCTTGATAATCTGAAACACACATATCATTGTAGTGAGAGAGAGAGCCGCAGCTTTGCTAATTCGATACCCTGTTCATTATTTTTTCATCATTCTTGGTATTGAATCAAAGCTATTTCTTCTCTACTCTATATTGTTTGTATGATTGTTGGATGAAATAGAGAAAAACAATTAGTATCAGAGCCTAGCGTGAAATCGATTGAATGTTTTTCTGAAATTTTCGTTTTTGTGTTGTTCGGAATTTTCTGTTTGTCGCAGCGCAGGTGAATATCGAAAAAAATATCTCGAATTAGAATCGCGATTTGTTTTCAGGACTTGCAGGTGCGGATTTTTTTTTGTGAAGGGTGAAGTTAAGGAGCAAAAAAGTGTTTTGCACATATTTCACAGATTGATATTGAAGAACTTTTCTTGAGAACCGGTATTGAGTTTTTTTAGAAGGGCAAAACATAGAGATCTTCAGTGTCGAGGTCTTGAGTATCGAAATCTTCAGTGTCGAGATCTTGAGTATCGAAATCTTCAGTGTCGAGATCTTGAGTATCGAAATCTTCAGTGTCGAGATCTTCAGCAGCGAGTTTGTCCAATTGCGAGATTTAGTCTCGAGATTGTCCAACTGCAAGATTTAGTCTCGAAATTGTCCAATGGCGAGATTTAGTCTCGAGATTGTCAAAGTGCGAGATTTAGAATAAAAAAAAAGGACTGAGGGGCAAAATTGTCTTTTGAGAGACCCGCTGAATTTTGCAGCATTCGTGTCCGCAGGTCGCCCACGCAGGGGGCTGCGAATTTTCGATTTTGAACTGAATGCCGAAATCCCATGTGCGCGAGAGCTCTCCTCTTCTCCTTCACCTTTTAATACTAAGGAAGGAGTGGTTCATATGTATATATATGTTTTTCCATCACTTGAAAAACACACTTTTTCCATCCATTTTTTTTGGGAGCTAGTTTTGAGCCACTTCAAACTTCAAAGTCCAAAATTGCAACACCAAAGGTCAACCTTACAATCAAAGCTTGCAAGAGTCAACCTTGAGATTTAAAAAAAAAAATAATAATTAAAAAAAATCTTAAGGTTAAGACTATTTTTCTCAAGGACCAAGCTACATTTCAAAGTCCAAAAAATTGCAGAAACTTCAATCAAACTCACGTCTACGGTCAACATTCAACAATCAACAATGATTACTTGTGGCTCATCATCATTGTGTAATTGCAACTACGCTAAAGTTTCTGATGAGTCTAAGGTAAGCACATCTGGCAGTCAACAAACTATTAAGGAATTGAAGGAGAGGTTAGACAACAATTACCAGGTGTTAGTAAAGAACCTGGACAAGAAAACCTCACTGAGCATTCAAGTGAAAAACGCTAAAGATCAGATTAAGAAGATGACTTTAGAGACAGATAAGCTAGTACAGAAAATAGCTGATCTGACGAAAAAGTTGCAAAAAGCTGAGAGAGAGCGAAGCACAGAAAAGGCTGATAAAGATTTTCTTCATAATCAAAGGAATTCTCTCTACAGCAAAATAAAGGAATTGGAGGACTTAATTGCTACGAAGGGGCAAACTTAACAAACAATCTTCTTGAATCAACCCAAGGACAACCGTTTCTACAATTCAAAAGAAGGACTTGGCCTGTCTAATCCGCGTAATTTAAAGAAAGTGAATTGCGTTCAACTTTATGACATAAATTACATGGGTCTAGGTCTGGTCAAGTTGATGTCCTTTGTTTGTGCAAAAGAAACAGTCATAGAAGAAGAAGCAAAAAGAGCTAATCCAAGAACAGAAATACCTTTTAGTTATGATGCTTTGAACAATAGCTATGATACAAAAGAGACACCGTTGACTGCTGCTGATGAGATTCCGACTCACTATCCTGCAAAAGAGACTGTGCAAGATGCAGAAGAATCTTCAACTTCAGAGTCTGAAGTCAAACCAGCATACATTCCACCTCTTGTGAGACAGTTTGCTGAGTTGAAAGAAACTTTTGATAAAGAGAAACAGGCATTTGAACTTGAAAGAGAACAACTTTTAAGTGAAATATCCTTGTTAAAAGCATCATCTCAATCAAGCACAGGCTCGCAATCTCCTTCTCCTCGATCATCTGAGAACTATTTTGAAAACTCAACTCATGATCCTGAAACCTCTACTTCTCACTTTGAGTCTCCTTCTCCGACAAGGTATAATGTGAAAAGGAGAGTGTAAAGAAGAGGATAATGGATTGAGGCGAAGTTGAAAAGAAGAGAGAAGGAAGAAGAATCTCGTCTAAGGAATATGAGCCAATGTTCGAGCGCTCTATTCTATGCTAAAAGGAAGACATATGTCAAGAATCACCATTCAAGCTCTTCTTCTCTGAATTGGGTTAAATTAATGAAAGTTTGCTCCTCTAAGTCTGTTGCCTCCTCCAATAAAGATAAGGGTGTGAATGATCAGCAATGTCCAAAGAAACCAGCTTCCGCAAAAATGAATGTTGAGGGATAGTATAAATTACCACGGTTGAAGTATCCCCTCAAGGTTCAATCACTCAAACACGTGAGAAGACTCTCTCAAGAACCAATTTTCAAAGATTATTTGTCTGATCATTCACTCACTGATAGTGAAACCTCTCCTGCACCTAAGCTCAAACAACAATGGATTCCTAAGGCTGAAGCTGAAAAGTTAAGACAGTCAAATCCTTCTCAACCAGCTAGCCTAGGATCCCAAATCAAACAGAAAGTGCAACAGTTTTTCAATGCTTCAACGGAAAGGCCCATCTGGAAATGGGTCCCAAAATATACTTAATCTGTTCCGCTAAGTCCGTCATGTGTGGTAACTGATCTGATTGCTCCACACACATGGAGGGTAAGAAGACGAGCTGTGAGCAATCAACTAGTGCACATTATGAGGGAGAGTACTGGCGTGAATACTCTCTACTAAGCTGAAAATCAACAAATGCACACCCCAGCACTGACACACACCAAGAACAAACAACACGTGCTTATTCTGAGGGGGTGTTTCTTTTTCACTCATCCCGGTGCCAAACAACGAACGAAGAAAGCGCATTTCAAGGGGGAGTTTTCTACTTTACTACCCAGGTAACAAACAACACAACTTGCAACTTTTGAGGGGGAGTTTCATTTTTCTCCTCCTGGTGCCAGACAATTTACCATGCAATGATTCTCTCAAGGATGCATGTTTTGAGGGGGAGTTTTCAAAATTCTCCTCCCAAGCGCCAAACATTGTTGAATGCATCCTACTGAGTGCTTCAGTTGAGGGGGAGTGCAAAGAGAAAAGAAAGGAGCAAAGAGAAATGAGAGATAAATTCCAATGTCTTAGTAAACCCAACTAAGCCTACCCAAGGGACAAAGCCGAGAGTGAGTGAGTAACTGAGTGAACTCTATGAGAGTGAGGAAGCAGAAAGCTCAAGTGAGCAAGAGAACAATAATCATTGTCAAATCTGCTATTTTTTGTGCTATCAATCGAGAAAATTACTCTCAGTCACTCAAATACTCTGGACAATCCCCATAGGTTCAGGACTGAATTTATTCAGATCCCGGGTAGAAGTCGCTGCATTTTGTCCAAACGGCGCATGCACAACCCTACCCTAGACCACTCATGTGTCTCCCAACAGACAGGTGGTTATTCATATTTCACGGGGAACATCATCTCTTATCACTGCCTCCTTCTGAGGCATCTGATACTGACTATAGAGGCCCACAATCCCACGCCACTGAACATTCATTGATCACATCGTGTCTAGTTATCTCACTCCCAAATGTTTTGAATTTTCTAGGACACATACACCTTTTAGAGTCAATTGCAGGTCTTCATGACCCGGGAGAACTTCCATAGGGCTCATCTACTATAGATGAAGACTAATGATTGCAAGGAAGTCTTGCTGGTGCAACATAGAAATCACCAACATGTTCAGGTCATCGCTTCAGAGTTTATCTCTATAATGATGATAACGGGCGTCTACACGACCCCGTGGGGCTACATTGTCTTTGCTGATCTTTAATTATGATCATGCCATAACAACCAGAGTGATATCTACTTTAGCTGCCTCACAATGACTGGTTGGAAGTCATGTTAGAGCTTTAATGCTTCTATCATTTTTACAGGACACACATCAGTGCTTACATTGAACTTTACCATTAGTTTACTTTGATTGAATTTAGTTGACTGTTGGATTAAAAAAAGTTACGATGAACAAAGATGATGGCGATAAGATTGAGATTGAGCGAGAGGTTCCCAGATCAAGCCCATGTAGAAATTCCTTTTGCCAACTAGCTAGATGAATCACTAGAATCAGTAAACTTTAATTTGAAAAATATTACTTGTTAATTAAATAATGGGATGGGTTTTTCCTTGAAAATATGATACTCCGTATATGATTGACATGTTTTTAATAAATTTTTTATCGAATTCTCTTAAGGTATGTGTATATATGAAACATAAAATTTTTCTATAAAATCTATTTCATATCTCTCTCATTTTTACAGGTCTGTACAATTATAATATTTACAAAGTTGCTTAAAACAAAATAAATTAAATCTAAACAATCACAAGCTGAATGTAAACTTTACAAAAGGAAAAATAGCATGACGAATAAAGCGGTCCATTTTGATGATCTCCTTCCAAGCTTAATACACGAACCGGAAGAAATATCCGACCACAACAACGAACTATACCTGAAATTCGGATTCGACCCGTATAAAGCTTGGATCCCTGCCACGTCATCAACCCGGAGATCCACCTTCTTGGTTCTTGGGCTCAAACTTGGGTACATTATTGAATCTTTGACCGATGAGTGGGCCAGCCCAAGAATGTGACCAATCTCGTGCGTGGCCACAGATTCCAAATCCACTGCCAACTTTGACTGCTGCTTCACGAAGTCAACGGCCCACGTCTCCGCCGCGTCAAGGTGAAGCCTCCCGTTCTCCGGCGAGAAGGCGTGGGCTAATATTCCCAATACTCCGTCGAACGGCTCTCCGTCGCCATGGTCGCCGCGGTAAAACCCAATCTTGATGTCAGCCGAGGGGTAGTCGTCGATCTCCGTGAAGTTCACTGGGATCACCGCCGACCACCGCGAGAAGGCCTTCAGAAACACCGCCTTTATCTCCGATAAGGGTATATACTCGATCATGTTATCCGGCGAGAACGCGTAAGTCAACAGTCCCACCGGCGGTCTCCTCCACCGCGGATGGCCATAAAAGTAGGCGTATTTCTTCGTGCCACGCAACGCCGCTGAGTGCCTCATCCCGTCGTCGACGTCGCCGCACCTCGGCTGCACGATTTTGTTGATGGTATCAGAGTCAAGTTTTCCGGTCACGGCCAACCCGAGGTTCTTCTGATACCGGAGAACGGCAGACTCGAGTTGGTCGTCGAAGAAATCGGTGAAGCTATTATGATGGTCATTACTCCCCTGCACCGGCGACCGGAGGTATCCGAAACGGTGAAAGTATTTCTTGAGCTCAGACACGCCTGTGACTTGGCTTCCCTTTCCGAGGTCGACGAAATTAAGGAAGTCCCGCCACGAGTTGTGGTCGACGGTTAATTCAGTTACTTCTGTGGCGGGAAAGCCAGGGAGGAGAAAGGGGATGAAGGCCAAAAAGGTGAGGAATAACAACCGAAACATTGTTTCTTAATTAGCCCTTTCTGGATTCGTTAATTAATGTGTTTTATTTGATCCTATTAAAATAGTCCCCCGGCTTATGGGAGGACAGGAAATGTGACTAATTAATTCATACTTTGCACATATATATGTATATATTCAAGAAATAAAAAAGCGGTACTCAATAATAAAATTGAGATTCTGGAATTAAACATACATTATTTATTTATATTTGTAAAGAGGCGGGGCATGCTGATTCCAAATAGAAACGCTGAGGTTTAGTATTTAGAGAGAGAGATAAATATACTCCCTCCGTCTCGAAATTATTTTCATTCTTTCCTTTTCGGTCCGTCCCAAATTTATCTCTTCTTTCCTTTTTTATAAAAAATATGTGGTTCACAATCATTCTTACACATTTCTCTCTCCTCTGCACAACTCTCCACCACACAAATCCCACTATCTTAATCCCCGTGCCCAGTCAAAATCGAAGTTAATTATGGGACGGAGGGAGTAAATGAAAGATAAGATATACTCCGTACGTAGAAGAAAAACATTGGGAGCTAGGGTGCGTATGGTTAGGATTTAGGAAGATTCTGTTGTGTGGCGTGTTTGTCTTTTCTTTTTAGATTCTGACTTTTGATGGCTGCAAAATAGCAAATGTCGTGGTGGGTTGGGTGAGCTACTCCCTTAGTTTTCTATTCTATCCCTCACAAAAAATATGACATGCCTCATATGACAAAGTTTTAAGCAATGTAGATAATAATTGTTATCACAGATTCACAGATTCGAACTCAAAACTTATCATTTATGACATTTCTATTTAACGATTGGGTTATGCTCACCGATCCATCTTATACCTCACATTGTTCGCATCTTTGCATTGTCAATTAAATTTATATGTGCATTCGGATACTGTCAAAAAAATTGATTCAACACTGCAAATTTTTTTAGATATCATTTCAGTAGCATATTAATTATTTTTTGAATGCATTAATTAAATTATTATATGCAATGTTTTTTTTTGTCTTAAAACTTACAAAATAAAAAATAGACATTTGTTTATATGCGAGAAAAATCTAAAAAATATATACAATGGAGAAAAACCTAGAATAATAGATACATGTTTATTGGCGAGATTGACACTAATAATCCTTATATTTGAGCATTTAATAAAAATAATATCTAATGAAAAAGTTCACAATTATAATATCAAATCTTTAATAACATCACAAAAATAATATAAATCTATAATATTTGAGCGTTAACATTTCCATTATTTAAAGCAAAAATGAAAAAGTTCACAATTATGTTCGATGAAGCGAAATAATACGTAGTATAAAGCATTAAAAATCCATATCTAATTTTAAATCTAAGTCTACTTTGAATTCAGTACATTTAATATTTATTCATCATTAAATAAACTACATACTTGGTAGTACGAATGGAATGGTGAACAAATACACACCAAATAATCTTTTATTCTTTTATATTTTGTCTATACTTTTTCATATTCAATATTGTTTTTCATTATAATAAATGTTTCAATGTAGTTTAGTAATACTATGTTAAATATCAGTGTCAATTAAATGATATAATTTTTAATTTAGTCAAATATTGTAATTTTATATTTCTTATAATTTGGAATAAATGTGATACTAACTTATTATACGTCCAAAAAGGTTGAATCCCCAACCCCAAGGGCCCCCCACATCGACCCGACAGGATGGTGGGGGAGTAAATCACAGTGACTCAGTCGGCAAAGCGACAGTAGGCCTTTACCCGTGCGCAACAGAGGGCCAACCTTATTTCAGGTTCTGAAAACCCCCTTTTGACCGCTGCAGGATTCGAACCTTGGACTACGTCCAATTTTTCCCACAGCTCGACCAACTGAGCTACCCGTGCGGGTAAGATACTAACTTATTATAAAAAACTATTTCATGCGTGTGTAAGAAATTTTTGACCCTCTGTACATTCAAAAAGTTTAAAGTTAAACATAAATAATCTCAATTTGAAAATTATACATAAATATTGGTTGTCCCTTTATCATTCAACAATCATACAAAGCTTTGATTCAAACCAAGAAAGATTTCGAAATACAGAATAGGGTATTGAAAAATGCAAAGTTGCGGCTCTCTCTCGCTACAAGAATATGTGCGTAAATTGATTATGCGAGGCTTAGGGTTTGCTTAAGTTAGCATCCTTTTATACATAAGGATGTCTAACTTAAGCCTTACAAGAGAGATAATGGGCTGAAATACATCTGTGGCCCATATTACACATTTAATAAATAACTACACAAATACAAAGACATTTAAATAGATTGGATAGCGTAAAATATTCCCAACAATCTCCCCTTTGGTGTTCAATCATGTTGAATCAGCATTGCAGTGCAGATACCTTTGTCTGTGATTGTTATTCAGCTTCCTTTGTCTTTGAACTTGACTTCTTGAGAAAGCTTTATGAAGAAATCCTTGCAATATCCCCTTTGATGTCTTCTTTTCAATTTGATCTTTGATGCCGGGAGTTGAGGAATCTTTTGCTTTTAATCCTTGCCTTCCAGAAGTAGCTCTTGATCAGCTTGATTGAAGTCTGAAGGCGCTTATAGAATGAATGTTCTGATAATTTTTAGGCGCACACGGGATTCATCTTCAGTACACGAGTATCTGACCTCTGTCTCCTCCACAATGTAATCTTTTTGACTATTTGAAGTGAATGCGTTTGAGGAGACCTTGTCGGTGGCACAGCGGAGAATGATGGTTGACTTGTGAGCGTAGTTGTCCATTTGATTCGAAGCTTTTGATAGAGATAGTAGTGAAAGTGTTGGAGGAGAGAAGTCTCCGAGAATGATTTCATGAGAGCAAACAGCATGTGGACCACTCTCCCCCTCATGACGATCTGATGAATCGAGACGTCATGCCTTTATTCTTTTATTCGAACTGGGAAATAAAACAAAAACAAACAAACAGAAAGTTAAAGGGATAAAACCAGAAACACCGAGGTGTTCCGTTATCACAACATCAATGTAAACACTGATGTGTGGCCTGTATAAAATGATAGAAACACTAAAGCTGTAACATGACTTCCAACCAACTATTGTGTAGCATATGAATAGATGTCACTCTGGTTGTTATTGCATGATCATAAAGATCAATATAGTGATGATAGAGACACTCGTTATCATCACTATAGAGATAAACTCTAAAGCAATGGCCTGAAAATGTTGATGATTCTTATGTTGCAACAGCAGGATTTCCTTCCAATCATTGGTCTACATCTGTGATAGATGAGCCCTATGGAAGTTCTCGCAGGTCATGAAGACCTACAACTGACTCTAAAAGTGCGTCTGTGTCCTAGAAAATTCAAAACATTTGAAAGTGAGATAATTAGACAGGACGTGATCAATGAAAGTTCAGTGACATGAGGCTGAGGCCACTGTAGTCAGTATCACTTGCCTCAGAAGGAGACAGTGATCAGAGACGAGGTTCCCCGTGAAATATGATTAAACATCTGTCTGTCGGGGGACATGTGAGTGGTCTTGGGTATGGTTAAGCATGCACTGTTGGACAAGATGCAGTGACTTCTACCCGGGATCTGATTAAATCAGTCCTGAACCTATGAGGATTGTCCAGAGTATTTGAGTGGCTAGAAGTAAATGTTCAATTGATAGCATACAGTTGAGGTAGCAGACTTATCATTGATTATTATTTTCGTGCCCACTTGAGCCTTCTGCTTCCTAACGCTAGCTCATAATGTGATACTAACTTATTATAAATACTATTTCATGCGTGTGTAAGAAATTTTTGACCCTCCGTACATTCAAAAAGTTTAAAGTTAAACATAAATAATCTCAATTTGAAAATTATATATAAATATTGTTTGTCGCTTTATCATTCAACAAGAATATGTGCGTTACAAGAGAGATAATGGGCAGAAATACATTTGTGACCCATATTACACATTTAATAAATAACTACACAAATATAAAGATATTTATATAGATTGGACATCATAAAATATTCCCAACATAATCTCAATTTCTCAACGGTTTCATGAAAATAAACTACACCCTCCGTTCCGCTAAGATTGCCATAGTTCCTATTTAATTAGTCAACATAAATCACTCTTAATCGTTTACTTTATATATCAATTTTTATCAAACTTGATTCTGGTTTTTGTGATTTTGTAAAGCTTTTAATGTAGCTTTTGAATATGTAATTTTTTCCTAAAAATAATTTGAGTTTGGACAGAGATGTATTTGCTTTATTGTCAGTTAAGAGTAGTGAATCAAATTGTTTCATTCCTAGTGGGACAGAGGGAGTAACATATTGGGTAGTTAACAACATCATGTGTCACTTCATTTTTGTGAAACAGTTGACAAATTGATACATAGTACTTCCTCCATCCCGAAAAAGATTTGCCAAATTGATTTTTCTTGGTCAATCACAATCAACTTTGACCAATGATATATTTTTTATACGAAATTATTCAGAATATGAAAATTATATCAAAATATTCCTAATTGAAAATATTTTTATAAAACTATAAAATTTATAAATTATATACAAATATAATAACTAAAATCATTGCTCAAAGTTTCTCATCATTGACTAAGAAAAGTCAATTTGACAAACCTTTTCGGGATGGAGGTAGTATGAACTAATTAGTACTATTTATTGTTCAGTTTAGAATTTTGTATTAAAAACTAAAATCATATTAGTGTTTTTTTGAGCTTGTGCTACGGAGTATAATTTAGTCAAACGCTTAAAAACTATAATGAGGTAAGGTCAGATTGGTCTTTGAAATTGCATAAAAAGATCAAATAAGTCCTTACTGTCCGGCAATCCCCATTTGAAGAGGTTTCTGGTGGAATTTTTTGATGAAATTTTTTGAGCATCTTATTCATTAAATCTAGTTTTCTCATACCAAATTTCAGTTAAAAACTTCAATCCGGAAGGCATTCAAATGAATTCTTGAAGGTAACTGTGCTTTTAACTGCACAGTTATCTTCAAAAATTCATTTGACTGTCTTCTCGATTGAAGTTTTAGCTGAAATTTAGTATGAGTAAATTAGACTTAATGAAGAAGACCCTCGAAAAAATTATCAAAAATTCAACCCGAAGCCGCCCTTATGGTGACCGTCAGACAGAGCTCCCGTAAAAGGGCACTTTTTATTTTGTAAGAAAGTTCGAAGTCTTATTCGACCGTTCTCCTGCATCCATTCACTCATGAGTCATGACTCATTCCCTACTTCCTCTTCAAATTTCTCCAGGTCTCATGGTGTTTTGTAATTTGTAGCCTCACATGGTTGGAATGAAACCCCGTCCTACCATCGTGATATTCAATTAGCTGCTGAATGCCATTGTGAAGATGGGTTGTTACAAGGATGCTGTCTCTCTATTTCAAGACGTTTATGCTTCCAGCCTTCTTTTGATAGATGAGTGCACACTGAGCTTTGCTGCCAATTCCCTTACCCGATTGTTTAAAGTAGATTCGGTTTTATCCATCTTAGACACCCACTTGCGTTTTTATTCAGCACCTCACTAAAAGGGCTTTTTCTCCAAAGTCGTGTTCAAGATGCTGTTTGGTTGTTCCAGAAGTTATTGAAACAGAAAATGTGTGCCGTAAATGAATTCACCATATCAGCATTTATTGATGGCCTCGCAAGGCAGGACTCACTGCCTGTAAGCTGCTTCATTTATTGGATGAGAAGGGAAACTGAAAGCCAAATGTATTTGCATATAGCGCCGTTATTGACTCGTTGTGTGAGGATAAAATGGTTGACAAATGCTCTTGGCATTTTAGAGAAGATGATAGGAAAGGGCATTCTTCCTACAGACGTGACCTATAATTCACTAATTGATTGGCTCTGCAAATCTAGACGATCGAGTTACTGAAAAGAATGATAGATGGTGGCAAACCGAGAACATCCAGATCTTTTCACGTATAGATGGATTCTGTAAGAATCAACTTGTTCCTCAAGCGCTTTCTTTAATGAATGATGGCAGGCTTGGCAGCTCAGAGTCCTGTCCCCAACATAGTAAGCTATAACACTGTCATAAATATACTATTTAGTGATGGAAAAGCCCAGCAGTGCAGTAGAATTATTTAATGCCCTTCCCTCAAAAGTGGGAAAGCTGAGAAAGCTGGATAGAAGATACAAAAGATATTTTGAGGAAAATGGTTGCATGCCAGGTAGTATGGTAGACACCCGCACTCATTTGTGGGTCAGTGAAAAAGAATGAGCATTATGATGCTGTATTGCTTTTGGAGGAAACGACAAAACTTGGATTCTCACCTGACAGTAGAACATGTAAGACTATACTCGAGACAATCTTGCTAGATGGACCAGATTCCCCTTTGCATATGCTTATGAATATATGAGAAAATGACAAAAAGTCGTGATTTTAAAGCTTCACCTAGAAAGGTTTGTATTTTATTTGTATTTGTGCCTATGTTCATTTTGAATGGTAAATTGTTATTTACTAAAAACAAAATAGAAATGAAACTAAGAAACCCATAAATGTTAAAATTTAGCCAAAACAGCCCTATTTTTGTTTGACTTTTTTTAATAGCCCTTTGGGCATAGGTTTTAATCAACCTCCATGATGTAATCTGTATCTCATTTTCTATATAGAATGTCTTGAGACAACCTGTTTGGTTGATTTCACAGTGACTGCTGGTAACCTGTTTCTTATGTTCAGTCATATTTACTCAAGAAAGTAACTATAATAGTTGTCATACTGTATTTATTTATTTTACCAGGGAACATTTATTACACTGCTTATTTTTTCCGTTTTCCTATAATCATATGAAAGTTTTCACTAAAACAGGGAGGCTAGTATAATTATCGTGTTCGGTGTTCCTCAAGAGAAAGCGGTTACTTTAATGAGGATGATGGAAGCTGAGTCCTGTTCCCGACACAGCAAGCTATATTACTGTCATAAATGGGTTATTTAATGATGGAAAGCCATGCAGTGCAGTAGAATAATAATGCTCTTCCCTCTAAAGGTCTCCAACTAGATAATGTGAGTATTCGACTGATAAAATTATGATATGTGGACTTCGCCGAGAAGGCTGGATGGAAGATGAAAAATATATTGTCAGGAAAATGGTTGCATGCCAATTGCCAGATAGTATGGTTCACAATGTACTCATTTGTGGGTTGGTGAACAAGAATGAGCATTGTGATGCTGTATTACTTTTTGAGGAAATAATTAGACTTTGATCCACCCAACAAATGACAATACATCTTGTGAGGTTTTACTTCAGTCAATCTTGTGTAATGGGCCAGACTCGCATCTGCTGCATATGCTTCTAAATATAAGAGCAAGTTACTTCTGAAGCTTCTTCTAGAAAGGTTTGTATTTTATTTGTTTTTGTGCCTATGCTTGGTTTGAACGGTAAATACTAATTTACTAAAATCAAAATAGAACTGAAACCCAGAAATGCCAACTTTTAGCTGAAATATTTCTACTTTTGTGATTATTTTTAATAGTCCTTTGAGCATAGCATTCAATCGACCTATGATCTGATCTAAATTACATCTTCAATTTAGTAACGGCTTCAGATAACCCATGAAAATCTGTTGTGCTTACTATCTTTACTTTATCAGGTTACTGTGCTCTATGGCTTCTTATTTGCACTTTGCAGAGAAAATTACGGAGTACATTTTAGGAGCAGTTTGCATTGCATGTTGTGACTCTCCTTCATTCATACGTGAGGTGGTTCGCCTTAGTTTTAACATAATTTGGTGACAATAGTTTGCGTTTTTAAAATCTAAACTTGTAGAATATGGATCAATTCTCGCTTTGCCTGGTGGGCTTCTATAAGGGGTGTTTGGATCCACTTTTTAAAATCTAAAGGAGCAGAAGCAGATATTGAAGTGTTTGGGTGAAAAATGCTTAAATACTTTTGGGTGCTCCAAATTGCTCTTCTGAAAAACTGATTCTGCTTCAGTGCTTCTGCATTTAAAAAAAAGCAGAAGCAATTCCAAACACCCGTTATAGATGATATCACATTCTGAGTTCCAGGCCACCCGGATAGTTTGTACTTAAAAAACGTACTTAAAATCAAATTCCATTGCCCAGTGAAGTTTAATGGTGATATTTTTTTTAATCTATTAATAAAATTGTTTTCTGATGTAATATTTTCTTATACAAATTTCTGTTACAGCATCATTGTTAAAATGTGTCCATTCCATATGAAATTGTGAGCTGCTTTACATGTTTCAACTGCGCAGACAGTACAAGTATACCTTCAAGATGTTTTTTTATAACAAAACATCCTCTTGGACTTGGGCCTTTGTTTTTTGGTCAATATGCTTGTAAAGTTGGAAGAAGCTGGCGATATTTTATGTTCAATGAGAATAGAAATCTTGGGGGAAAGACTCTAATAAATTAATTTACAAGGAAAAGGTGGGTGATTTCCTAATGAATGACATCCACTTTATTGCGGCTTTTGTCATTGGTACATGCTTGCCTACCTCTAATCTTTTCCAAATTGCCTAGGCCCACCATGGTTTCTGGACTAAATCTTTTGATATCACATACTGGAATCTTGAACTGTAAGGAGACCACTCGATGATCTGAGAAGCCTTCTTGCTTCCTCTGAGCTTCAAGCATTTGTGTATTGAATCGTGAAGCTTCTTATCAACGTTCTCTATGATCCACCTCAAGAGATCTTCTGTGGGAATGCAAGCCTCCCTTGCATATCTCTCGAGTGCCTTGGGCAAGTCCACTCTCTTTGACTTTTTCACAACCACATTCGCCTGGAGAAATTCCCTTTTTGCGGTTTCTAACTCTTCTTTGATTTTTGATGCTGTGTATGCTTTTAGCTACAATGTAGAGAACATACAAAGAAAATCATGTTATGAATGTCAACCATATAAACACGTTCCTTGATGTCAGATATTACATCATCAGTTTTGCAATTGGACATGACTATAAGAACTCATTGTTGTCTCCAGATGGACTTATTGTTGAACTCATTTTTCACGCAAATAGAAACTAAAAACCTATAATGACGACCATTTTGAACTTTCTTCTCATTATTTCCTCTTTAAAAGGTAATGATGAGAAAGTCATCTAATGTAAAGCTTTGCCACAACGTTTGTTGGCATGATTTTATCTTAAATAACAATGAAGTGACACTATAAATCTCATGTCAACCGACCCCACCATAGTTGGGATTAAGGTTTTGATTATGTTATAAAGAGTGAGTGAGCAACTAGTGAAAAAGTGAGCAGTAATGTATTTTACATCTAGTAAACCTTACCATAGGATCAGAAAGTGCTCCTGTGCAAAGAGCAAAGCAAACAAGAGGTTGGTGCTCTTTGAGGCCAAATTTTGAGCTGATAAGTTCTCTTTCCTCTCCCGTTTTTTTCCTTATGGCAGTTGAAAGGATAGCATCCAGCCACTGTCGAGCGAAATTGGAACGATGGGCATGTGAACTTAAAATTTTGAACGGAAACTAGGAAACTTTATATTGCAAGATTGTTAACTTGCAGAGAACAGCATAAGCAAATGACCTGAGAAACTAGCTCAGTGTCATTTGTCAACATCATCACCTTAAGCATAACAAATTAGCCAAGGTCGGTGACTTCAAGTGTACATTGTAAAGTATTTCAGTTAAACTTACAACTAAATTAATGCCAAAAATAAACATAAAGAGCATAGTCGCAAAGTTATACACGTGATTCTCATTCTTACAATGAAAGAATGAGATAATGATCTAAAACCGTCATCATGATATGTTATTCCTACTTGCACTGATAATACCATGAGACGGAGATGAGTTGGGATAGTTGTTATAGTCATGATCCATTACATGATTGATATGGTCAAATCAACCTGCAAATCATGGAGCATGATCAATAGCTTTGTATCACTGAAAGGTGGGGAATATATCGGCTTCTTGCTTCTATCAGAAAAGCCCCCCAGGTGCAACAAGATGTCTATTAATTGTTAAAGAACACTGCCAAAACAAGAGGGTATGTTGTTGGTATATATGTCAAATATTCATGTTTTTATCTCTCATAAACTTTCTTGCATGACAGATATAAAGGAAATACCCGTCTTCCTATCCGTGGAGTCCTCAAGCAAAAGATTGACTGTTCGATGGCATTTGCACTTATGACATGCCCAGCAACGTTGTATGCGGCCTGCACTATACAGATTAATGAATGGTTATTTTAAATAAATATGCATCCATTTTAAGGTTTTGGCCATCTTTTGGATAATAGTAGTTTAACTTTCAATACCTTGTGAAACAAGGCCAACCTTCTAAGAGAGTTTTGTGGTATGCCATATGCTAGAAACGCCTTCAAAAGAATAAAAGAAACAAGAATGCGATGTAAAAAAGACAAGAAATTGAAATAAGAGAACATAAAATCTTGCAGAGGCCAGGAGAGAAAATACGTAATAGTTACATGCATAACTAAGGAGTTGTATAAGTTGATCCAGAAAGCTATCTGTGCACTAGTTTCCATCTGAGATATGTTCACCCTTTCAAGTTGCTCCACCATAAGTCTGAATATAATGTTTAAAGGTTAAGGTGAAGTGTTATCCTTGATTGATGATGAACAAAAAAAATGTGAATTTGAGATAAGAGTGGCAAAAGAGTATATAGTTGAGCTATGTTAAATTTTATTTATATTTCAAGGATAATATATTTATATGTAACTTTGCTCTTAATTATATATTTTATCTTCAGGAAGCCAGGAACCATATTTACCTGTAGCTTTTAATTGCATAAGATGCACGTGAGACGTTACTTTTATCACACGATATCCATGAAATTACAATTGCAGATTTGCAGCTGAACCGGTCTTTCTCCAGCTCATTAGTAACATCATGCCCGGGAATTTTGACATTTGATGATAAAGCAGATTGGGTTTTCCCTGGATTAACAGTGATTGTCGTCTTCTGTAGCCAGCAATATACTGCTGACATGCACCTTACCATTTCCACTGATAACTTACTTGGACACTGGTGGAGATGATCTTTCAGATAATTTACCATTGAAGCTTTTTGTGCTGGTAGACCCCATCCTTGATCCTATCATATAATTACTTTTCACTTAAGAAACTTCAATAAATATGAATTGTTATATATAACTGTTAGGACCACACACATCATCTTAAGTCGAAATTAATTAGTACGGAGTATGATATTGTCCACTTTGTGCCAAACCACAATAATGTCTTTTGGAGCTCCTTCTAAATGCCATAGTTTATTCAATATAATTCTTTGTTTTTCTGATGTGACTTTGGGTTACAGGATACATCCCCACAGTAATAGTATGACTGTATGAGATGCTGTCACTCATATCATTTGATTATTAAAGTAGATATATAAAATTTAATTAATGAAGAAATTCAAGATTGACAGAATGCATGCCAATTTACATCCGAGCTAGCTAAGAATCACAAGAAAAAGCAATTAACTGGTTATACCTTAAAGTTGGCATTTTCAGATGAGCATTTCTGAATGTGTTGGCCTTTTTTACAACTAAAGAAGGAAGCATGTTTCGTTTTGGATTGAGAATTTCTTTTCCCAGAGTCGTCAATGGAAGAGAGGGCTTGGAAAGAAGTCCTCCGCAAAGGAAAATTCTTTGATGAACAAAAAGCACTGGAAATTATACTGGGCTGCCTCTTTCTTGATTCAATTTTTTTTGAATGTGCTGGAGAAGTAACAACAGAGGCTTGTTCAGATGATGGACGGCTGGTACATTGCTCAAAAATGCTCCTGTATAGATTCAGGACATGCTTCTCCCGGTTTGCCACCTCATCTTCTAATAACTCTATCTCAGCTATCAATTCCTTTGTCTGTAACAAGAAACATGTGTTTTTAATCTCATAATTTACGGGTATAATAAGCCAAACCCCATCACGATATACAAATTCCGTGCATTTTCCTTTTGCGTTTTAAAAATGCATCAAAACATCTTGTGTTATAATTGGTCAAGCACACAACACCCCGAAAAAGAAATTTAGCATTATGAAAATCATGTGTTTCAGTGGTATGATTGAGCATGCAAGTACATTTGTCAAGATCTCCAAATTATACCAGTATACCACAATACGATATCGCTTTTCTTTTATTCGACAATTATTTTTTTTTTCTAGGGATTATGCATGTGCTTAATTATTCTCTGATGCATTTTACAAATTAGAAGGGGCTAATGTGCATTAATTATATATCATAGAGGGGTTTGGCGCATTAAACCCTATTATTTACAACAGGTAGGTGTCATTGGAGTCACAATTCCATTTTTATCATAAGTTCATAACTAATACTATTTGAGTAATATATTTGATTGGAGTTACATCACAAATCCATTTGAGTAATATATTTGATTTTTTTATACTTTTCAAATTAGTATTACAAAACCCTAATGCATGTCCTGAAGTGATATACTTGAACATCATCTTAATATTATCTTATATTATTATTGTTGTTGTTATTAGTGTTGTTGTTGTTATCGTGGTTGATGGTGGTGATCATTATTGGTATTAAGAACCATTCCTTAATAGCATATCTATTGGGCATAACCGCATAACTGTTAATTTTTACTTTTTGGACATAACTGTTGATTTTTAATTTTTGGACATAACTGTTGATTTTTAATTTTTGGACATAAATGTTATTAACGCATCATCACCAACTTCCAGTGCAGTTCCAAAAAGGCAACTTGCCAGTTAACATTGGTAAAGGTGGTGATATATATGTTCTAAAATTAAAGATTCGTGAATGAGGTACTTAATCAAGATTAATGTTTAAGGAAAAATCATTTTTTATTATTACAGGTAATGTAAATACTTCCTAAAACATTTTTTGACAAAAAATAGTAGAATAGAAGTGTCTAACCATAATGAGAATATCTTTCACACAGGTATGGTCTGCATACCTGAGCTGAAAAATGTCGATGGCCAGGGGAAAGAGTGCTAGAAGTTCTTCCAATTGTCCTCTCAAGCAACATCCGCATTGATCTTTCTTGCTGCAACCGCAATTGCAACTCTTCAATCTGACAAAAAGTATCAACTATTTTAAGAAGTTGAAATTACTATACTAATCAATGAGGACCTATAGAACAGAGTCAACAGACATTGCTTTTCGTGTAGCAACTATATGAAAGAGTGGTCTAATTTACATCTTTTTCCAATGAAGCGCGGTGGTTAGGAATGACATCCGTTGTCTTTTTGAAGCTTTCATGAAGCGGGCTTGCCCTGCAGCTCCTTGTGGGTGGTGGCAATCCCTGAAGAAACATTGCTCATAGGGTTTATTAGATTTTCATACCAAAGCTCATTAAAGTGTGAAGAAATGATGGTTCAATGCAAAGAACTTCATACATGTCTCTCTCTAAAGTCGTCCTTTTGCGTCTGATCGCCTCCTATCCTAATATTCTTCTCTGAGGCACTGCAATGGAATAATACAAAAACACGCTTCTTCAGAAAGTCTAATGCGTCTCCGCAACCGCATTATCTATACAAAGTGAAATTAGCTTCCCCTTTGATATTAAGCTGAAGCCTCGTTCATTATCTATACAAAATGCAGTGAAAAGGAAAAGGAAAAATAAAAATCTGCTGAAGCTCAACCTTCTTGATCTCCTGTGCTGGGAATTACCAGAAGAACAAGTAGCTCTTCCCACACCATCACCATCCACAACTAATCCAATCATTATGCTTCTCTCTGGGTCGCTCTTTTCAACCACCAACATTCTCTCTTCATGCATAGGCACATGCATTAAGTGAAACTTACCTTAGAAATTTACATCTACTGATCTACCCCCATGCTAGCTACTGGAAGAAACTAATGGAATAGACTATATATATGAGAAAACAGACAGATTGCTTAATGACTGAAGCAGTGGAAATGAATGAAAGACAAGAATAGCAGCAGCAACTAAAAAGGGAGATGTGGATTTGATAAAGATGAAGATATATTGTGAAATAAGGTTCAGTGGAAGTGGTAAATGGAGCAACAGAAAAGCCAAAGAAGTGTTTGGATGAAAGGGGGAGGTGGACCAGGATAGCTGCAAAGGAATTGAATGACTTCAGTTTAGCGTAGTTGAGAGCATTGAATGAATATTTTAAATTTACTTCACCTGCCCACACACCCAGCATTTACACAGTGGATTTATATATGTGAGTTCCTTAACTGCAAGGTAATTCTCTTATACCTCTCCCAGGCAATCCAAATCAGACTTGGCGTTTTTTTTCTTTCATTAATATTTTTGGCTCACGGCGTTACCTTGATTTGATTAAAAAGAAAATCGAAAACTATTACATAGACCCCGTATAAGAATAAGTTTTCAGAAGCTGGTTTCCCTGAGCTTCTAAAAAAAATTACTTCTATGAGTAAGTTAGAACACTAAAAGTACTTCTGCACTTTCACTCAAACACTCCAACTTCTGATCTGCTCCCTGAAGGAGCAGAAACAATTTTAAGAATCAGATCCAAACACCGCCCTAAAACGTATCTATTAAAATGTTATCACTGAAAACGAGTGTGATATTGGGTGATGATATGTTAACATTACCAACCCCTATTAATTAAGTTTATCATGTAAAACAATCTACTTTTTAAATATCACAAATATAATACGGAATAGTTATTAAAGATGACATAAAACTGTCATCTTTAATGTGGTACAAATTCCCATTCACTTGAAAATCATTGAAGTGGGTGTGTCAATAATATGCTTCAGCTCACAATATTTAAATCATATTAATACAAGATTGTCATTATCAACTACTTCAGCAGACATACTGTCACCATGTGTGCAGCCCACATCAGATTCAAAATGAACCAAACTAAGTACAATACCACTAATTTTATTGACACAGTTGTGTTAGTTACACCTCAGGAATATTTGCATCTTCTCACATGCTGGTCCAACAGTAAGTGAAACATGAATGGGAATTACATCTAATAGAAATGCATAAGAAAGGAATGATACAATTAGAGTCTGAACAAAAACCAATCAGTTTAACATTCTTTTTCCTTTGACATGAAACACACAAACACACACGCACAAGGATCCATTTCTGTGATTTGAATACAATCATCACAATAATCCTAGGGTCCGTTTGGAACCTGGAAATAGCTAAAGGAAAAAATAGGGATGAAAACATACAGGAAAGTTGGAAGGAGAAAAGTAGGGGGGCATACGAAAAACATTGCTTTCCAAATTACAATCAATATGTTATTTCTGAATACTCATTCAAACATTTCTTAATTAAATATTATTATTAATAAACACTGAAATAAATAGATGTTTAAAATATAAAATTAGTGTAATCAAATTTGAATTTCCTTTGTATTTTGCGGGGTAAGACCAAACATTAGAAAACAAACCCGTTTTGCTTATCATTTTTTCTTTCCTGCCATTTTCTGAGTTTCAACCACGAAGCACTTTGAGAACAAATATTTATAGTGGTAAAGAACACGAAATTTAGTGGACATGAAATTTTTTAGTCTACCTTTTCCTTATGGATGCATATTTCTAATTTACACATGTGGACTTGTGAACGGTAATGACTTATGAGCAAAAGCTCTTGGCATCTTTAAGAAACAAGTCATCATTAGCGTTAAAATCAGAAGAGTGACTACTTATATAAAGAATGAGAGTACACATTGGGTTCTGGTTCTTTGTGTTTGTTGATCATAAATTAGCATATATCATTCAAAACAGATGGAAGATTAACAAATGCATACATTTCGCGGTAAACATTTCAAGAGCTGAATTTAGTCCTATTTCCTTCAATTTCTTTTTTCAAAAGCATATGAAGTAGAGTGAAATCTGGTCCTTCTTGCAGCATTGTCTCAAGTACAATCTCACAGGTTCTATTGTTGGCCGAGAATCCAAGTCTTAACATCTCCTCCAAAAGCAATATTGCTCCAAGATGCTCGTTCTTTTTCAATGACCCGCGTATGAGTATATTATATATCACGCTATCAGCCATGTACCCATTTTTCTCCATTTTCTTGAACATATCTTTTGCATCTTCTAGCAAGCCTTCTCGGCAAAGACCACTTATCATACTCCTGTAAGTTATCTTATCTGGTTGCAGCCTTTTAGAAGGAATGGCATTGAATAGTTCTATTGCGCTCCATGGCCTTCTATCTATGAATAGTCCATTAATGACAGTATTATAGATGACTATGTCATGGACAAAACTCCTAGCTTCCATCATCTTTTATAATGAAAGCGCTTGAGGAACACGATCGTTCTTGCACAATCCATCCAAAATAATGTTGTAGATGATGAGATGCGGATGTTCTCGGCTTGCCACCATCTCTTTAAAGAGCTTCTCAGCATCACCACATCTCCCTGCCTTAAATAAACAGTCCAGCATTATGCTGTAGCTAATAAGTGTGGGCTTTAAGCCATGACTTGGTATTTTATCAAATAGCTTTATGGCTTTATCTGAACACCCATTCTTGCTATATCCATTTATTAAAATATTATATGTCCAAATATCAGGGTCACATCCCCTATCTATCATCATCTCTAAAATTTGCAATGCACTATCCAATTTTCCTTGTGAACAATATCCATCCATCAAAGCATTGTAAGTGATTCTGTTAGGATCCACACCTTATTGAATCATTCTATTCATGATTTTTGCAGCACCGCCGATCCATCCTTCCCTGCAAAACCCATTCACTAGAGTGGTGTATGTGTGAACACTCAAAGAAACTCTGTAATCGGTCATTCTTTTCAGTAACTGTTTGACATCTTCCCATCGACTGAATTTGCAGAGCCCATCAATTAGCGAAGTATAGGTCACGACATTAGGAGGAATGCCCTTTTCCATCATATTCTCAAACAGGCCCAGCGCATTGTCAAACATTTGATCCTTGCACAGAGTCAATAACGGTGTTATATGAAAATACATTTGGCTTGCAGTTTCCCTTCTCTTCAAATAAGTGAAGCAGCTTACTAGCCTTAACAGTGTGTCCTGCCTTGCAGAGGCCATCAATCAGTATTGATAATGTGACTTCATTAACCTCACACACTTTCTCATTCAATGACTTCTGGAACAACCAAACAGCATCTTGAACCCTATGTTGAAGAAAAAGCCCTTTTAGCAAGGTGTTGAAAGAAACAGCATTGGCTACTAGACCCAGTTTCAAATGGATTCCTAAAATGGCAAAAACCAAATCTACTTTGCTCAAACGGGTAAGAGAATTGGCAACAATATTCAGTGTGCATTCATCTATCAAGAAAAGGGCAGAAGCAAAAATATCTTGAAATAGAGAGAAAGCGTCATGGTAACAACCCATCTTGACAACGGCATTCAAGATCTGATTGAATTTCTCGGTGGGAGGACGGGGTCTCATTGTAACCATTTGGCGATACAAAACAATTGCATCCTCGAGATTATTTATACTCGCAAACTTTGATTTACTAAGTTCAAAGTATGAGTCTTGAGTTTTACACACGAAAGCAAGATCATGAAAGCCAGGGAAGTTGAAAGAGTGGGGATGAGGAATGAGCGAATTAATGTTACCAGTTGATAATCCTCTGAAAGCCCAGTTAAAATAGTGCCGCGGAACGCTATTGGTCTTCTTCATTTTTGCCTGGGGTTTGCTTCCTGCACCCCCAAAATTTCTTAATGTAACCCTTAATGGACAAATTTAGCTTTCTTATTAACCCTAAGTGTAATTACAACGTTAATTAAAAAGGCTATGCGCACCTCCGCATAGCCTTTTTAATGGACAAATTCTCTTGTCCATAGGAATTTCAACCTTAGTTATACATCCAATAAAAGTGTGTCATGTGTCAAGTAATTACTTTTTTTATGAAATGTCATAACTTTTTCATTTTTACTGCAATTTTTATAGAAATTATACCAAATTAAATATTTTTTTATGATCTTTCATATGACACCAATATCATATATGTAATTTAGAAAAAAAAATCTGATCAAGTCTCGTGAACTGTCGATAAATGTATATTTACACATATTTAATACAGAGTACTTCGTAACTCATTAAATGTACAAAAAGAAACATATTTATTTGCAACACACGTGCCTCAAATTTATAAGGGGGTTGCTTCTTGCACCCCCATTTTTACTTTACGTAACCAGAGTATGATAAAATTGACCTTTAATTAAAATTGAGTTTTACTTCACAACTACGGAGTATATTGGTTTTCAAATGAAAATCTTAGTTGTAGATCACACGGCCATGTGGTAAATAATTAGATTGCCCCATATCAATTTTAAATTCACTCATCCAATAAAGAATTACTCCCTCCGTTCCTCAAAATTTTGCCAAAGTTGACCGGCGCGGACAATAATAATGTAAAAAATGTGTGGTTGAGGTTTGTGCAGAGGAGAGAGAAACAATAGAAACCACAAAATAATTGATTAAAAGGGAAAGTGACAAAGTTTTTTGGGACGTCCCAAAAATGAAAGATGTCAAAGTTTTAAGGGACGGAGGGAGTATTTTTCATGGTCTTTATATGTCATGTGTGTAAAATTTCAAAAATTTAACAATTTTTTGAAAAAAACATTAATATATTATTAAATGAAACGTAGTCGAAATAGAACATGTGAATATTGTAAATTTCAAAGGAAAGTAGTATTAAACTAACATTCTAAAAATATAGAGGAATTCATTTATTATGAGACATTAATTTATAATTATAAAATCAATAAGGATGTTTTTAATTGGATTGAAATTTTAGGTATAGTCAAATCTGGTATTATTCGATTTGATCTGTTTAATTTTGGTCTAGTCTTAACTGATCTGATATATTAGATGTATGTTCTATGTGTGTTATACAACTATCAAAATGTAATCTTGAATCGAAAATAGTGAAATTTAAAAATCCTAAAAAGTATCAAGTATACTTATATGATAATAGAATAAAGACAATATCCAATACAAAGATGAATGAAAAAGTAAACATGATCACACAAATATTGCTGAACAATGTATGCGATAAACTTAATGAAACCGATAAAAAATAAAAACTCAAATACAAATAATAGGCATATGAAGTCAAGAATACAATTTTCTGGACAATCTTCATATTCATCCCAATTGTATAACAAGATTATAAAAAAATATAAGGTTTTGTTGTACATTTTAAACATAAATAATTTTCAGGAATTAAGTTACTCCCTCCGTCCCTTAAAACTTTATGATCTTTCCTTTTTGGGACGTCCCAAAAAACTTTGTCACTTTCCCTTTTAATCAATTATTTTGTGTTTACTGTTATTTCTCTCTCCTCTGCACAAATCTCAACCACACATTTTTTATTTTATTATTCTCCGTGCCGGTCAAATTTGGCAAAGTTTTAAGGGACGGAGGTAATAGATCAGTAGTAAAAATTAAGGAAATCCGGCTGCTTTGCTTTTTAAATTAAAATCTTAGGATTTAATTTTATTTAGCTGCACGTAGTAAGATTCCCATTTGAAAAGCAATATAGTTGTGATCTAGTTGTGAAGGTGCGCGCAGTAAGATTCGCGTGATGTGCTGGATAATTTCAAAATCAATATTTAGTTCAAATTTGGAAGAGGACACACCTGTCCACTAAAGAAAAAAAAGAGGTGCGCGCAGTAATTGTGAAGGTGCGCCAAGGACGACCGTTTTTGCCTGCAGGGTCTACGCTGTTCCGATGCCTTACACTAGGGGTGGGCATTTCGGTTTCGGTTCGGTTTCAGTTTAATCGGTCCAAATACAAACCGATTAATCAACCAAGAAGCGATAGTAATGAACCAAATATAATGTTAGATATAAATTTGCAAACATTAACAAAATAATACACATATGAACCAAAAATATATAAGCATGACACATTTGTAATCAACAACAACATGAATGAATCAAATTATATATAAAGCCGAAACAAAAACAAAACTGGTGCTTGTAAGTAATGAACCAAATATATAGTAGTAGTAGATAATAAATTATAGTTAAATACTACTCCCTTCGTCCCCCTAATATTGGTACGGAAGGGAGTCATGTAGTTTTTAAGAAAAGTAGAACTATATGGTTGGTAATGAGTTGATAAAGTGGAAATAAAGTAACAATGAATTAGAGCGGAGGGAGTATCTACTTAAAGTGGAAATAAAGTAACAATAATAAAGGGACATCCAAAAATGAAAAAATGGGACAATTATAGGGGGGCGGAGGGAGTATCTACTTAAACCACTATAATGTTATAGTTGTGAATGTAACGCTTATTGTAAACTCTAGTCCTAGACACTAAATTAAAGAATTAAAACTTCAAAAAGATTAACATCAATCTAATTAATGAGAGAAATCTTATATTTTGGTTTGGTTTAGTTTGATGTAAGTTGGTTTTGATTTGTTATTTTAAAAAAATAAGAAATTATTTCATTTTTAGATTAGTTCGGTTTTATTCGATTTTATTCGGTTTTATGATTTCGGTTCAGTTTGGTTCGATTCGGATTAATACGGGTTGGGAAGAATACTACCAAACTCAAACCAAATCACAAATGGTTTGATACGATTTGATACGGTTCGGTTTGATACGGTTCGGTTCGGTCAAACCGAACCGTTATGTCCACCCCTACCTTACACAGAAGGGTCTTTCTCTCTCGTTAAAAAGTCATGAGATTCTTATTTTTGCAGCAGGTATCACGAATTCCTCCTGCCCGGCGGTAGGACTGGTAGCAATCCTTGGAGGGTAGCAATTTTTGCCATTTGACATTTCATTTCTTTTGTTGTTAAAACAGGTGAAAGCATATATTTGTACCCATTATCTAATTACATATTAATATGAATATTTCCTGCTTAATAATTAGCAAGATTATCTTTTTATATCTAAAAGCACTACGTATAAGAGAGAACTCTCCCACTCAATTGTTAACTCACATATCTTCTTATACCTAAAAGTAGTACATATGAGAGAGAGAAATCTCATTATCTAAAAGAATAGTTGGTGCATATATTTGTACTCATGATCCAATTACATATTAATATATAAATATTTCCCGCTTAATAATTAGCAACATTATTTTTTTATATCTAAAAGCACTACATATAAGAGAAAGAACTGTCCCACTCAATTGTTAGCTCACATATCTTCTTATACATAAAAGCAATACATATGAGCTGAGGGAGAAAATTCTTTTGCTCAATTGCTAACTGGATTATCATACTTAGAAGAACTACATATGAGAAAGAAAGTTTGTTAGCTCAATGGTTAGCAAGCTTATCTTCTTATCTTTATATATCCAAAATCATTACATATGAAAGAGAAAATTATCATGTTCAATTTCCCCGCTCAATTGTTAGCGAAAGACAAAAATATGATTTGTTTTAAAAGTTATCCAAAACAATGACATATTTAGTGAGTTCTCAATGACTCATCATCTATTAGTAACTTGTTACTTTGAAATAAACCATAGTGCCTCCTGATGAAGTATATGGCCCAGGGACCCCCGGCCCATAGACTCCTACTACTCTAACAAGGGTCCAACAAGCCCAGGAAGCACAACAGGCCCAAGTCACAGTGCCCTGAGTAACAGGAAGCCCGCGGTTCCCATACATCCACCTGCGGCCCCCTTGCCGAAGGCGCCAAATTATTACAGAACAACTGGCTTAGGCGTACGAAGCCACTGGGAGAAAACAACGAAATCACTAGCCTTCGGCAATTAGAGCCCTCGGCTCTATAAGGCCCCTGGTGCGAAGAGCCTTCGGGCTATCACCTACAGCCGAAGGCATCTTACTCGACAGGATCTCCTCTCCAAATGCTCAACGTACCAAGTACAAACGTCGCATCCAACCACCGCATTTAATGCGGCCACATGCGAGTGCCAGTGCCACCCTAGTTGAGGTGACCCTTCGACCACCAGATTGTTGACAAGTGCCCCTATCTAGCTTTTATTTCTACTATAAATAGCAGCCCCTTTTCCCATTGTAAACCATCCTTGAATACATAACTCATATATTTGAATTTACTCTCTCTCTCTCTTACTGATTTGCTCTGACTTCTCTCTAAGTTACTCCCTGCAGTAATCCCTCGGATAGATACCCCCGGGTACACTATCCCTCACCTCCTTTTCAATTACTCATATATAGTGAGTTGTCATATTTTTATCCAAGAACATAACTAGTAATGTTTTTATCCTTTGAAACTCTATTAGTAATATATATGTCATTTTTATCCTTTTCGCAAATCTTTTTTTTTACGCCCAAAAGATGATTGAGTGCCAAACTTTGTGATGTGAAATTGAGAGCTCAAAAGGAGTTACGCCCAAAAGATGATTGAGAGCCAAACTTTGTGATGAGAAATGAGGGGCGAAAGGAGTTCTTCGCAAATGTTGACGGGAATTATGCCCAAAAGATGATTGAGAGCCGAGTCAAAGGGGTCTATTTCTCAAAAATTTTTAACATGGATTCCCCTAAAATTGACTATAATCTTTTGAGTTTGTAGGAAAAATGGTTTCAAAGGGCAAATCTGTGAGAAATGAGGCTGGCCCGAGCAACCCTAAGCGGGCTAGGAACAACAAGGCACCCATGGCCTCCTCCACCATCTTGCCGGCTAGTCGGTTTGTCAACACCCAATGCTACGAGCGTTACCTAGAGTCCCGGGACAATGATTTTGTGATTGAAAAGACAGTCTCACAACCTATTGATCAC